CATGATTGATGTGATTGGCTCAGTATTCCCAGGACGCCACTTGTCCTAGTAACAGTAAAGAAAAGAAAATGCCGGCGACTCCACCTCTCCGACATGACAGCATTGTGCTCCAGACACTGAACATCAAGAGGAGCGTGTGTCTGTAAAACAGACCCCTTATTTTGGGGTCCAGTGTAGAAGTGACCCCCAGGGGCATCTCTAGACCGGGTGACACGCCACCGTGTTGTCATCGTGCGTGCACACCCCCCTTGTGACGCCACTGGTGACCCCTTATATTGGTGTCCAGTGTAGAAGTGACCCCTTATATTGGGGTCCAGTGTAGAAGTAACCCTTTACATTGGTGCTCAGTGTAGAAGTAACCCCTTACATTGGTGCTCAGTGTAGAAGTGACCCCTTACATGGGTGCTCAGTGTAGAAGTGACCCCTTACATTGGTGCTCAGTGTAGAAGTAACCCCTTACATTGGTGCTAGCTGGGGAGCAGACCATTGCAGGGGGGTGGGTACCCATTGCTGAAGGTGGGTGGTTTCTCTAGCTGGGTCAGAGTCAGAGAGGACACCGGTGACTGATTTCTAGGGACATGGAGTGCTGAGAGTCAGAGAGGACACCAGTGACTGATTTCTAGGGACATGGAGTGCTGAGAGTCAGAGAGGACACCAGGGACTGATTTCTGGGGACATGGAGTGCTGAGAGTCATAGAGGACACCGGTGACTGATTTCTGGGGTCATGGAGTGCTGAGAGTCAGAGAGGACACCAGGGACTGATTTCTGGGGACACGAAGTACTGAGAGTCAGAGAGGACACCAGGGACTGATTTCTAGGGACATGGAGTGCTGAGAGTCAGAGAGGACACCAGTGACTGATTTCTAGGGACATGGAGTGCTGAGAGTCAGAGAGGACACCAGGGACTGATTTCTGGGGACATGGAGTGCTGAGAGTCATAGAGGACACCGGTGACTGATTTCTGGGGTCATGGAGTGCTGAGAGTCATAGAGGACACCGGTGACTGATTTCTGGGGTCATGGAGTGCTGAGAGTCAGAGAGGACACCAGGGACTGATTTCTAGGGACACGAAGTACTGAGAGTCAGAGAGGACACCAGGGACTGATTTCTAGGGACACGAAGTACTGAGAGTCAGAGGAGGACACCAGGGACTGATTTCTAGGGACACGAAGTACTGAGAGTCAGAGAGGACACCAGGGACTGATTTCTAGGGACACGAAGTACTGAGAGTCAGAGAGGACACCAGGGACTGATTTCTAGGGACACGAAGTACTGAGAGTCAGAGAGGACACGGGTGACTGACTTCTAGAGACATGGAGTGCTGATAGATATCTGCTGTTTCCAGGGACAGATGCTATGCTGACAATGAGAAATGTTTCCAGGGACACCCCGTGTTGTGGAGCAGAGATGTTTCCAGGGATGCGGCTACACAATTAATAAGTGTCCCGACCCCATCCATTCCTCCCCGTACACAGTCCCCCATCGCTTACTTGTCTGGCCCGGGTCCTCCGCTGCTCCCCATAGACAGCTCAGCCCGTCCTCTGGCTCGGCTCCCAGCCCTGTAACCCTGGCTCATCACTACCCCCCGGGCCACCGTCTGTCCAGCCCGTTGCTATGACAACACTGATCATCATTGGTCCAGCTAGGGGCTGTCAGGTACGGACTGGCACCGCCATTTTTACTGTGGGCAAAGGGTCGTGCTGTCTATTTACTGTCTTTTCTTTCTGAATATTTTCAGCTTATCGTGGAGTAAAAAACAAGGCAATCATATGTACACGCTAGAACAGATTTGTTTGGAAAAAAAAAGTTTTCATGATCAGTAAACGATACACACAGGTGCCTGGGAGAGTTTAGCGGCCATTTTTAAAACGGGCAAACCTATATTTTCACTTTCACTCTATTCGAAATATTATCAAACTGAAATTAAAGGGAGGAACATGAAAAATAAGTTATCTCTGGTTCCTTTGTTTTTTTTTTTTTTTTTATAAAACGCAAGCAGTATAGTTGGTTTAATTTCTATGCATGGTGTTTTCTATAAGGTTTTGGCGGCCATCTTTGAAACGGGCAATTCCCTCATTCATTTTACCTATTCTTTTCTTTAATATCATGCTCAACCCAGGGCAATCGAGTGGTAATCAAAAAATATTTATTTATAAATAGCGTTGTTAGAAAACGAGAGCTGCGTGCGCAGC